GGCATAATCAATAGGCTCTCGGCCTCATATCAAGCCACCTCGTGGAGTAACAAATCAGGCCCTCGGCCTCATAATCATAAATCAGTACCACACTGCTGCGGGCGCAGCCCGATCCCATAATATCCTCACAATACAGGCCTTCAGCCTCACTCAGTCAGAAATCTCTTAAGCCACTCGGGCAATAGTAAAACAAAATGCTCAGCCCAAAATATTATTTAAAAATATCAAAACGGAGTAAATATGGCTGAGCTATGAGAACAGTAGAATACAACATGACTGAGTACAAATATGAAGTCAAAACAGTGAGGAATAGTAGTAAAAATTCCCTAAGGGTCTAAAACAGTTGGCACGAGGCCCAAATATGGCATTCAACCCAAAACAAGACAATGTTTTCCAAAACACAATGATATCAAACAAGTTTTAATCAAATACGTGACTTAACAGTCATACGGGACGGACTAAGTCACAATCCCCAACGGTGCATGACCCCACGCTCGTCACCTAGCATGTGCGTCACCTCAAAGTAGCATAACAATGTGAAATCCGAGGTTTCATATCCTCACGACAATATTCACAATCATTACTTACCTCAAACCGGTCCAAACTCTAGCCCGTGATGCCTTTGCCTCTCGAATCGGCCTCCAAATGCTCCAAATCTAATCAAAATCAGTATTATCATCAATATACGCTAAAGGAACAAAGCCCAGGCAAAAATAATCAAATTAATTCAAGAATCCCGAAATTGCTCAAATCCGGCCCCTGGGCCCACGTCTCGGAATCTGACCAAAGTCTCAAAATCCGACAACCCATTCAATTACGAGACTATTCATACTAGTTTCACTCAATTCTAACTTCAAATCGGCTTTCAAATCCCAAAAATTCATTTTATGAAGTTCCATAATTTTTCCCAAATTTACATCCCAATCTCTACTCAAATGATGAATCCAACGTTATAATCATGTATTTTAACCAAAATTGAGTTAGAATCACTTACCCCGATGGTTTTCTTGAAAAATCCTCGAAATATCGCCAAAACCCGAGCTCTCTAGGTCAAAATATGAAATAAAACCTCAAATCTCGTATTTATATAGCACCTTTTAGATCCCCATCACCGCTGACCGCGGTAAAAATCTTCGCTACAGCGGAAAATATTAACTGCAGTGACATGATTTAGTATTTTGGCCATAAGTTTCTCTACAGATGTCCAAACTGTGATTTCAATAGCTTTTTGAAAACTATACACGAAGGGCTAAAACTTTCGTTTTTGAATCATCTCAAAATGCTTTGTAGATCAAACGATATAGGCTTCTGAAATCAGACCAGTGAACCTGTGGATTCTTCTTCATCGCGGATCGCGGACCATTTTCCGCCCCAGCAGTAAAACCACCGAGCCCAGCGGTAAAACTTCCACCCCAGCTGTAAATTTAAGCACCAGAACCAATGCCTAAGTCCCGGTAATGCCCGGACTCGCTCAAAACTCACTCGAAACACACTCGAGACCCTCGGGACCTCAACCCAAACATACCAACACCTCCCATAACATCATTAAAACTTAGTCGAGCCTTCGAATCACTCAAAACAACGCCAAAATACCAAATCAACTTTGGATTCAAGCTTAAGAACTTAAGAACTTTCAAGTTCCACAAACGATGCAGAAACCCATCAATTCAACTTCGAATGACCTGAAGCTTTGCACACACGTCACAAGTGACACAACGGATCTACTCCAACTTCTGGAATTCTATTCCGACCCCTATATCAAAATCTCACCTATCAACCGGAAAACGCCAAAATCCCAATGTCGGCAATCCAAGCCTAAACCTTCCACAGACCTCCAAATACATTCCGATCACGTTCCTAAGTCCCAAATCACCTAACGGAGCTAACCAAATCATAAAAATTCCAATCCGAGATCATATACTAACACGTCAAAATTTGGTCAAACCTTTCAAATTTTAAACTTCAAATTAAGAACTTTTCTTCCAAAATCATTCCAATTACCTTGAAAATCAAAACCGACAATTTACATAAGTCATAATACATCACACGGGGCTAGTCATGCCCGAGAACTGGCGATCGAAGTGCAAAATCTCAAAACGACCGATCGGATCGTTACAAGTAGTAGTGAGAAAGGACACAATTTGAACAAAAAAGATGAAGAAAGAAGATGAGGAGCTGGGCGAATGGAGAAGAAGGAAGGGGTGAGGGGGGCTAGTAGGGTAGAGAAAGAAGGCAGGTGGTAGGTTAAAAAAATGAGAGGGGCCCAATCTTATTTTTATTATATATTAGGGAAAATGCATAAAATCCACCCCATCCCGTGACCCATTTACCAACTATACACATTTTCTTTTCGGGGGTCCTATTACCCTCTGAATTTATTTTTACCATAATTGATTTAACATTATATGCTCAATTAAATCCGATACGTCAAATCAATTATGGTAAAAAATAATGTTAAATCAATTGATTTAACAACATATAATGTTAAATCAATTATGGTAAAAATAAGTTCAGGGGGGTAATAGGACCCCCGAAAAGAAAAAGGTGTGTAGTTGGTAAATGGGTCATAGGATGGAGTGGGTTTATGCATCATCCCTACATATTATCATCGGGCCCACTTTTTTAAAATAAATAAAAAAATTACGCGCATTTATTTTATTTTATTTTTCCTTTTCTTTCATATCAGCCTTTAGGGTGACATTTAATTCACTCCGAACAAGAATAGGGGATAAAAGAAAATCCGTTTAGTTTAAGTGTTAAAACCTGTTTTCTGGATAAGTTTAATGGGTTTTTATATATTTTGCCTATTTTTTATGTAGAAAAAGAAGCATACTTTCATAAAAAAGTAAAAAACGAAAATAATATTTAAAGACATGTCCCTTAAGGTGATAATCGGTGCAATTTTGTGATTAAATACTCATACTTCCCGATCATTATTTTGTTACTAGATTTTTAATCATTATAAATAAGGATAATTTAATATAATAAACTCTTAATAAATAATGTTAACATGAGTGTCAAGTAAAAACTGAACAAATGAAAAAAAGGTGAAGGAATACAATTTAAGATAGCCCTTAATTAGCCCCCCTGACTAATGTTTTTGCACATGCCTCACTACTTTGGCCCCGCCATTATGTGTGGAAGCATACTATAATAATCATTTCAAAGCAACAAGTAACTCTCACATGTACCCGAATAATTATTACTCCATCATACACAAATGTGCACTAACAAGAAAACGTCACTCAATTAGTCAATCAACTGATTTTGTGTTAATTTCAAATTTGTTTGAGATCGATTAAGTGAATATTTAATGTTCAATTCATTCCTCTTGACACATTCAGTGCTGAAGCCAAGAGATTTAATAAGGGTGTTCAAAATTTAAACACCTTTTGTTAGTGAGCTATGCAAGAATATTCAAAGTCAATTTTTAATCCGTAACAAGTAATATTTTACCTTATATGTAGTATAATTTTTTGGTTAAGGGTGGTCAGTTGACCATCCTTGGACCAACATAGCTTCGCCCCTGGACACATCACATAAGTTTTAAAAATAATTTTGTACTAAACCGTTATTATGCTATAACCCTCTATTTTATTTCAGGTTTAAGACCGATTATATTTTGTGAAACTCATGTTCGCATGCAGAGTTATTAACGAGAAACATAACTTAATAACTTCCAAAACAATAGAGAATCATTTTTTATCCAAGGAAGGAGAAATATGGGAAGGAATTACAAGAATCAAACCTCACCAACAAAAGTGAAGACTCAAGTAACAACCAATCAAATAAGAGGCGGATTTAGAATTTCTAAAACAAGGGTGCCGAGGGTCGATCGGAAACCCTCCCCAAATCCCACTTGTGGGATTCTATTAGATTTGTTATTATTATTATTGTTGTTGTTTTGTGTACCGCTAAAAAGAGTATTAAGTGGGAATTGATCCATATTCTTTTTGATAAATAACTCAACCAAGTGCATCATTCAGCCTTAGCTTTGTGGAGCATGAGTGCCAACAAATAATATTAGACTAATTCTAGAAAATATATACATGAAATACCTAGTTTGGGGGAGACCATTGATTCATGCGCCTCATAAACTAACCTATAATCCGCCCCTGATTCGAACTACTAAGATTTCCCATAAAAAACAATGTGTTTTACCTTCCTTTAGAAAGGAAAAAAAAATAAAGTTACTCTATCCATATTGTGTATATGCTTGAGGTCTTAATTTCCAATGTAGTATGCTTAAAACATGAAATATGATTTAGTCTTATTTTCTCCATTTATTTTCGGAATATCTTTTTGGGGACTCTATAAGCTCTTGTATTTACGTTTGTTAAGTGTTACATTTGTGAAGTCCCATTTGTAACTAGACTTCTCCGTTACTAGAGATTTCACTACTATGACTTTTAATAGTATACAGTATGTTATTACAAGAGTTATTAGAGAGAAATATAGTTACACAAGAATTTTACCATGGTAAATTTTAACCGACTTGAAAGAGTCCTTAAAATAGTACCTTTTATATCCCGGGCTATAACGGCGCTTAATTCAAAAATCATGTTAGGCAATTTACTATAAAGTCCTCTCAATCATTGCTACTCCATTTTACCATTTTGACTTGAGCCGAGGATTATCATAAGGTAGGCTAAGGTCGAATTTGTTGTTGTTTGTTGAAATTCCAACCAATTTAATCATTATTTGTTGCAATTTTCTCATTTTTCATGATGAAACTCTTCATGGTGTACTTTCACTTTTGAGGTTTTGAAAATGGACCCAAATGGGGTCTTTACCACTTTGAAACTTTAGTCTATTCAATCATACTGTAGTTCTTTTTTCTTCTTTAAATTCTTTTTCTTAGGGTGAGGAAATTGAAAAGGGAATTTCACTTTATATTCTTCTTTTTGTTTTTATGCCAAATTGTTGCATGACTTTATATTGAACATGACAAATCAGCCCATCACTTCAACCTCACAAGTCACAAGTGGTCCTCCTCCATTAATACATTGAAACAGTATTCTTCTCCTATCCTCTGCCCTCTACTCTTTTCCTTCTTTCTAGGGAAAGAAGCATTAACAAAGAAATCTACCAAGAAAGTATCTCTTTTTTTTTCCCTTAACACTGCTGTCACACTACCAAATTGGACTAAGAACTAAAAAGGAAGCAGAAGCAAATCAAGAAAAGAAACATGTCAACATCAACATCAACATCATCACTAATGTGGAGTAGAGAAGAAGAGAAAGCCTTTGAAAATGCAATTGCTATTCATTGGATTGAGGACTCCAAATTACAATGGCAAAAGATTGCTTCTATGGTTCCAAGTAAAACCATTGAAGAACTAAAACAACATTACCAACTGTTAGTGGATGATGTTACTGATATTGAAGCTGGCAATGTTCCAATTCCAATATACACTGGAGAGGAAACATCTTCATCAACCAAAGATAGCAGCCATGGCTATTCTGGGATATCGACCGGGCGGTCCAATTGTGGTTATGTAAATGGATTTTCAGCTAGTGTCCATGACCAAATTGGTCAAGGAGGAAAAGCAAGTTCCAAGTCTGAACAAGAAAGAAGAAAAGGAATACCTTGGACTGAAGAAGAGCATAGGTAACACTACATTTTTAATCTAAAACAGAGTTTTTCTAGTGCACTACCTTCATGTATGAGTCAATGGCGAAGTCATGAATTTTAAATGTGTTCAAACTTGAAAAAAATGAAAAAAAATCCGAACAAAGAATGTCCAGTATATATTATATACGTCTAAAACCTAATATTTTATTTATATACGTAGTATAGAAGAGTAGCCACTTTTCGGATAACGTAATTTCGCCCCTGGGTTGAGTAGATATAATTGATGGCTTATTTTATGAATAATTGCTTATAAGATCTTACCATTAGTTGCAAATGTACAATGTATATTTGTATAAGATTCGCACCTATTGTCACAAAGAAGTAGTAGATGCAGACTTAAAGTCCTGAATTCGTCGTTGTGCTTACTATACTTTTCTTACCATTTGTTTACAGGTTATTCTTGCTTGGTTTAGATAAGTTTGGAAAGGGAGATTGGAGAAGTATTTCAAGGAATTATGTGATTTCCAGAACACCAACTCAAGTGGCTAGTCATGCCCAAAAGTACTTTATCCGATTAAATTCCATGAATAGAGATAGGAGAAGGTCCAGTATACATGACATTACAAGTGTCAACAATGGGGAGGTTGCTACAAATCAGACTCCTATAACAGGCCAACAAACCAATCCAAGCCCATCAAATGCAGTTGGACCCAATGTCGGGCAAAGAAACCAGCCCAATATGCATGGTTTGAGTATGTATGGTGCTCCGATGGGTCATCCGGTCGCTGCTCCACCGGGGCACCACGTGTCAGCAGTCGGAACACCAGTCATGCTTCCTCCTGGACATCATCCACCTTATGTTCTTCCAGTTGGATACCACATGCCGCCGCATCCTCTTCCGCCCATGCACCATCAATAAAAGGGCGCGCAACACTAAACTTCCGCTATACGCGGATTCCGGGGAAGGGTCGGACCACAAGGGTCTATTCCTGAATTTCTACAAGAGGCTGTGTCCACGACTCGAACCGATAATCTCCTAGTCACATGAATTTTTTTTTTACTAGTTACGCCAAGACTACATGCACCATTAGTGAATGCCACATTTTCAGAGTCAAAATGTTTTTGAGCTTCACATGGAATGTGGATTTTTGAAAGGCTCATGGCATGTTTCTAAATGTCAAAAGTGGTCTTAGTATTAGTTCTTTACTATGACCTAAATTGAGCAATTTGTAAATACTAGACTATAGATGCGTTTGGATCATGTTCAGTCATTTTCCACTGAATAATCGTTGGTTTTGCAGTTTCTAAGAAGTGATTGAAACTGAATTTCTGTTAATAGAAGGGAAAATGAGAAAGAATTGAAGAAGAGCTTCAATGACATCTTGTATAGCTTCTCATATGTTGTTTGCAATAAATTTTTTGATTCCATAATTTCTTTTAACTGGGATGTAGATTTAAGAGATTATGCAGCAATAAGTTGTAGACCAATTAACGGGCAGAACTACTGCACGAGAACGTTTGATAGAACAGATAGTGGAAAAGGAAACATCAGGGAGGCTGATGGCTCTCATACAAATTAGCAGAGTAGCAGTGTATTCCAATAATAGTAGTATTTGTTTTTTTTTTTTAGAAAATTCTCAGAAAAAAAACGCAGCCGCTATACTTAGGGTGCGCACTAGATAACCTGCTTACTGTGCAATAGCTCGTAAATTACGCAGAAAATATAAACCGCACTAGGCAAATATTAGTAGTATTTTGGTGTGGACAATATATGATAAAACAATCTATACCACAGGAACCAGTCCTCTGCTTTGAGTCTGTTTTACTGCAGTCAGTGTCAGCAGGAATGTAGGTAAAAAACAACAGAAGCAGAATCCTCGACAACATAAATGCAGAAATCAGAGTGACTACATGCTTTCTCTTTGAAAGTAAAAGTCCATCATTCCAGGAAATCAGGGTTCTATACACAAAGATTGATATACAACCAATCCAGCACTTCGAATCTCACAGAAACTGCAGAGATAGGAGGGTCAAGTTGCTACAAACAAATGGTCCTACCATTGCAATTTTATAATGTCGCATATTGTACCATTCACACACTCCACCCTACGGGCGAAGGTAGAGTATGACTGTCCGGTTCATCTGAACCTAGTATTTTCGGAAGGTAGAGTATGACCTTCGGGTGTATTTGAAGTTAGTACTTTCGCTATGGAGCATAAATTTATATGTAAAAATTCATTAAAATTGTAACAAATGGTAGTCATGAACCTATGACTTTAAAAATACAATGAATTCAATACTAAAAACCTTAAAAGTTGAATCTACATAATCTAAATCCTAAATCTGCCTCGGCTCCACCCCTTTCTTTGAAGGCGTGTTTAGATTATCGTATTTGTTTGTCAAGGACTTTGATTTTGGTTTTAAATTGAAATTCTTGGTGCCCTCAATGTCTTGCTTATCATGTTATTTAAGAATGTGGACTATTGGACCCCAACAAAAGTGCAGCCTGAGCCAAATTTCATCATTAAGATAGAAATGAATATCTGAATATCTCCCTTTACGCAAGGAGTCTTGACGTAACTTGTAAAGTTATTGTCATGTGACCGAAAGGTCAAGAGTTCAAGCCGTGGAAACAGCCTCTTGCAAAAATGCAAGGTAAGGCTGGATACAATAAAACTTTGTGGTCCGACCCTTCTCCGGACTAGCGCATAGCAGGAGCTTAGTGCACCGGGCTGTCTGCCCCTGTTTCTATAAACAGCGGACTGCTTTGACTTTGTCACAAGTGGAAAGCATTTCCTACACTCGTGAAAATCAAAGGAAAAGCATACCTAATTGGACTAAGAAATCAGTAACCCAACCGTTCCATCTCTCCTTACAACAATAACGACGACCCAGTGAAATGCTAACTAGTGGGGTGGGGAGGATAGTGTGTACGCAGACCTTACCCCTACGTCGAGGAGTAGAAAAATTATTTCCGAAAGATCCTCGGCTCAAAAAAACGAAAAGAGGCAAATACAAAGTAGGGTGCGCCAGGCCCGTGCAATAGTGCAACGCATGGCCGACGTGCAAGAGCCCAAGCGCAAGCTACTTTAGTGGACTCTTCCCCTTAAAAAATTAAGTTAATACTGTGTGAACCGATGGCCCATATATCAGATATTACTACAACAAACATGGATAAAAGTAAGGATTATGAGATTGTTGGGACATATCTTACAAGGGTAGCACTGAACTCACAGAGGGCTGCTACCTATAACTATTTGTATTAGCTGAGATAATTCTCCACTACTCGAACAAATAGATACAGGAAGCAATAGCGGGCAATGGATTCAGTGCTACCCGTGTAACAGATGTAACCAACAATTTTTTGAGATCTCGTGTCTTGGTATTAATAAGATAATTCTCCACTAAATTTATTTCTTTTGAAAGACGATTCAATCATCTATCAGCGAGAAGGAAGTTCTTAAAATGATTCGGATTAACAGCAAATAGGAGTAATATATAATGGTATATGAACGACCTATAGAAGTGAATAAAAGGGAACGGATTAGATGGAAGATTATGCTTTTCCAACTAAAATGCCAAACAAAAATAGTGTGACCAACCTAATACTTTCAATTCATATATATCACATTCTCAACCAAAACATCAGTGTTTATTTGGCCTCGAGCATGTTTTTACAACAATACTCTGGTGCACTGGTAGAGTTGTTGTCGCGTAATCCGTAGGTCACGGGTTCGAGCCGTAAAAATAATCTCTTGCAAAAATCAGGCTAAAGTTACGTACAATAGACCCTTGTGGTCCGGCATTTCCCCTGATCCTGCGCATAGCGGGAGTTTAATGTACCGGGCTGCCCTTTTTTACCCTGATGCACGAACAACTCGTATTCACGCAGGGTCCGGGTAAGGATCGCACCCAAAAAATGTAATTTATGTCGTCTATGCTGATGCAAGCATTAGTGACTGATTCCACACAATCATCGAGCATGTGGTGAACCAAAGATTATCCAAATGCCAGAATATACAAATTCAAAAGAGAAGATAGAGGCCTAAGACGGAAAATGAAATATAAAAATCAGAGGGGAAATATCCTTTCCCTGCCCCTTACTTTCTTTTCTGCCACTAAAATTTGCAACTTCTTTTCAACCAGGAAAAAAAGAAAGATTTAGTACACAGTATTTAACCAAAAAAAGGTATTTCGGTCAAAGCCTATTTTTAGAAGTACTCGGCTACTGATAATCAAGAAATTTAATATTCTCTCGGTGATAATAAAGGAAATTAGAATATAAAATGGCAAAGTAATCAATACAAAGCAAAAGAAGGTAATTGTATTCCAATAATAATCAGAACGTGTCTTTACAAGTGAAATCCCCTTCCCTTATATAGGGATCTACAAGTACAACGTTTTCCCCCTTTTATTACTGAATCATTATGAGCATTAATGATATTAATGAAACGTTATATATAATTGGTAATCGTAACTGTTCATGAAGATTCTGTAACGTCTATGATCATTCATGAACATTAATTGACGATTCATGAATCTTACTTCTTTACTGTCTTGATTCATTCTTCCGGTGTCTCTTCATATAGCAATTCAGACTCGAGCGACCATACCCCTTTTATCTCGTGGGTGATTTGCTCGTACCTATTACAACTCGCGCCTCTTTTAATGCATCTCTCCAGCTGTCGTTTTCTTAGTGATCCATATGTCTTGCCACATCAGTCACATATATAAATCCACGTGCAATATTTATTTTTGCCAATACAGATAGTCCCCCTACTTGCCGAATATTCTGCAATATTTGGGAAGTGGTATGTATTTATGGCGGGAATTTTTGCCGCCGTTTTCCATGTATCATTATGCCTTCTCCAGAACCAATGTGTCGTATGCCACTTCCATTTAATGCATGTGCCACGTGGCCTTCATCAATTGAGTCTGCGACTCTTCACCTATTTCTAGGGCTTTTTTGCGGCTGCGGCTGTCATGAAATGACTACTTCATTATGACGTTTCCATCATGACTCACTTTTCATAACAGTTGCTTCTTCCTATAAATTCCTCATGTGCCTTTAGTTTCACGAAAACCTTCAAACTACAGCATTCTTCGTCTCTAATTGTTCTTATTCTTCAGCATGCATCACTTTCTTGCATCCATGTCTTCCCCAAACCCCAATCCTCTTAGAACTATTCTTGTAGATGAACTACCCCCTTCAACTGCTCATATCAGATGTAGAAAGGGTGGCAGATTACGTAGTTTAGGGTCCGTGTCTATTCGTGGCTCTTCTTCTCAACCCAGTGTTACTCCCCCTTCGTCTTCTAGAACTAGGGCTTCTTCTTCTCATAGATCTTCTACTAGAAGTAGGGATTCTAGTGAACCTTTTCGAGAACCCACTGTTGATGAGATTGTTCCTGCTGAACTTTTCTTCTCTACTGATCGAGAATCGATTAGAAATCAAGTTACATCTATGATTTCGCATGATCGTGCTGATGTTTACCCTTCCCAGATTACTGAGGGCTTGATTTCTATTGTGCGAAGAGAATGTCGTTGGAAATCTGATTTCCCAATTTTAGTCCCTAATGCAAATCAAAGGATCACTTCATACAAAGTTGGTTATTCCCTTGTTTATAAATATCCCTTTACATTAGGCTTCAGACCACCTATTGATCCAGTCAATATAGAATTTTGCCATTTCTTTGATGTTTGCTTAAGACAGATTGGTCCTATTGTATGGAGAGTCATGTCATGCTTAAGATACTTGTCAAATTTGGGCTCTTTACCCTTTACCTTTTATCACTTGATTCATCTATATTCCCCCAAGTTGTTTCGTTCTTGGGTATTTACTCTCGTGGCCAGGAGTAAAAGGGTTGTGGTTAGTCCTGGAGAAGACAAGGATCGGGATCGGTATGCCCGTTTCGTTGTTGATCCCACAAAAGGTTTAGTTGGTGAAAAGAACATGCCTTTTCCAAAAAAAAATGGAACTTTGCACGTAAGTTTTTTTTAACCTTCTTCTTCTTTTTCTATTGAAGAAACAAGGACTTACAATCTCGCGACTGTATATTTTTCTTTTTTCAGCAACCATGGAAGCTGTTGAGGAGATTGCAAACTTTCGTGGTTGGGTAAAAAAATTGTTGACTGTTTCTACTATGGAAGGAAGGTCTTGGAAATACCTTTCTAATAGGTTTGGTTGGAAAGTAAAGACGCATGGTATCCTTCCTTTGAATTTTCTATCTTGCTTCCATATTTACTTGAAAATTTTCTAACTTTTTTCTTCGTTAGGGTTTCCCATTTGGGGTGTTAGCGCCGCATCTATTGCTGCTTCAAGACTTTCTCTGTCTATGGATCAAGAGATGATTTTGAATTCCTCATCAAAGAGAAAAG